GCACATATGTGCAAGCCAACCACCTAATTAATTGTAAAAGAGAATATTTTAAATTAAATCCCACTAATTCTGTTTCCTTTTTTCAACTTTTCCTTTACTTAAATAAAAATTCATAATTTTATCATTTGTTTAGAAGTATATATTTTTTTATAAAAAAAATAATAGAAACCTTTCAAATAGATTGGGGGCCTAGCTTTGCCCAAAACCGACCATGTCTCTCTGACTAAAACCTAATACAATATTTTATTTCTACAAACTCTAGTTTTAAAAACATTTACATTAGTTATAGTAAAACATTTATAAATTAATAATATTTGGGTTTCAAAATTTTATTAATTTATATAATTATTGATATATCATATTCATTTATAAAAATATTTTTCGGTTTGAAATTTAATATTCATCAAAAGATAAAAATTAATATTTTTTAATAATGTAAAAATTACTTAAAAATATCACAAAAATAAAATTGGAAGATAAATCAAACAACATATATAAATTTGAAGCAACAATATAACCATACTTTACTATATTATATTACTTATATATGTTTAAATATATACTTATTAGTATATAATTATTGGGACTATATGTTTACATAAAAATTTCAAAAACGTATTATCTTATTATCTTATCAACATTTACTAATTTTAATACCAATCCACCTTAAAACCAGTAAAAATTATTAATTTATAGTAATTATCAATTGATCATGTACTAATTTATAGAAATTCTATTATATAACTAATAAAATATCAATCGATGTTGAATCTCATTTAGAAAAAGCTCTTTTATAAGATGATAGCAATTTGCAGACCTTTCACTCATTCTATATTTAATATATATTTTTGGATGTATAAAACTTAGTTGACCAATCTATAAGGAGTAAATTCAACCACACAATAGATAAGTTAAGATTTTAATACTTTGTCTTAATTTTGAATTATTGGATTCAGAATTACCTACCTATCAAAAAGAAAAGGGTTAAAATTTCTCAGTCTCAAAAAAAAAAAGAGTGACAAAACCGATCATAAAAAATTTCAAAACTTCACAAACTGGTAGATATGTGTTACTATTGAATACTAAATTATTAGTTAACTTTTTATAAGTTTGTTATTGATTGTTTTAATAAGTTTGTTATTGATTGTTTTAACTTTTAATACATTTAGATATGAAACAACTAATGACCGTAACAACATTCATCGGATTCTTTCCAGCCAACACATTGGCCAATTGTGTATCCCATTTTAGTGCAAGCAGCCCCACACTCAGAAATCCTTTTGCAATGTCCAATCTAATGTGCTTTAGCTTCAACTTTCCCTAATAATAAGATGTTATTAATATTTTTTGTAGTTTGTTATTAAAATAGATATGATAAGATATGCAGTTATAGATTTACTAACCTGAAACCATGAGAAATATGATGCTTATCGAAGAAATCACTTAAAGCTCATGAAACCAATTTTGCAATTCATTTTTGCCATATTGTCAAATAATATATCACTTTGTTTGTATAACTTTTCATATGAGTTCTTTTTATAGTTTTTTAGACTCAAACAAAATATGTTCCATTGGCTGGCATATTTCCAATACTTTTGTTTTTATTTATTACATTTTGAGGGAGTTATTGGTAGATAGATTTGTAATGATTGTTAAAATTTTGAGATTTCATTGTTATTTGTAGATGGATTTTAACATTATTACTAAAATCTATTGTTATTGGTATAATGATTTTCAAATTCTATACAAAATCAATTGTTATTCCAAAAGTTTAGTTTTTAAAAATTCTATCAATCTATTATAATCTTTGTTATTGGGACAACAATATAACTCATTAGACAAAACTTTCAAAATCCTATCTATATACCTTTAATTCTTAAAATCATTATAATAAAAGATTTTGATAGATTTTCTAAATATACATAACTTTTTAAAAAAACTAACAAACTCTTTACAAATTTAACAAATCTTTCAACTTTTAACATTATTAGTATTAATTTTTATTGACTGAAATTATTCAGAAAAGTTACCAAACTAAAAAGATTGTTTATACAAATTACAGTACATTGGTACTTGTTATAAACTATATGATGGGCCTGAACTTGTACCTGTTCTTTACGTCAATCAATCTTGATTTCGCTTCTTCTTTTTCTTTTTGATGTTGAAACCGACAAATTATGAATTCTGATCTATGGTGTAAAATTGTACATGAATGAATGTATTTGTTGGGGTTTGATATATATGGTGTATGTGTGTATCTTTGGACATTTTATTGTTCCAAATGCTTTTGATTTGTCAGCTAAGTTTCTACTAAAAAGAACATTGCTTGAGTTTCCACTGTTTACTTTTGGACATTTATCATAACATCTCTGGAACCCCACAGATTATGTCAAAATGGTTGTACAATCCTGACATGAATGAACTATAGAGTTAGGTAAATTATGAAATACAAAATTTGGTTGTTTCGTGCTCATTAATCATATTATATAACTGAATCATGAAAGTGATACACATAAACTCAAACGTCGTTATTCAAAGTGATACTACCAAGTTTTATTATATACCTTCACAATGTTAAAAATGCAATGTTGAATTGGTTCAATCTTTGTCATCTCGCAAGACACCTCAAGTTTATTTGCAATATCAAATACCGAGGACGTGTTTGGAATAATTCTGATCTGATAATTAAAAACTTGCAATAGATCATCATCTTAAGGATTTAAAATCCCAAAGGCTCTGATAAAGCAGAAACCAAACTCAGATTTGTTGTGTGTGTACCAATTTGTTTCATACAAAAGTTTACATGGACATTATCTGTTGAACAATGCCAGGTTCTTGCTGCAACAGCTCCCTCAAGTTGTTCTCCACCTCTGCTGTCTGCTTCTCCAAGTATTCCTTCGATGTCTGACAAACAATTATGTCATTTCAATGCTCTCCTAACAAAATCATCATTAAAAAAAAAGGATCATTTATTTACCTGAAGAGAAGCAATTGCAGCCTCACTGTCCTTGAATTTCTGCTCTTGTTCACCCTCAAGTACTGTCTTGGTCTCTAGTACAAACCTGTTCACCAATACATGAATCCAGAAAAAAAACTATAATCAGCCTTCAAAGCCACTAGTTGGAGAGGGACTATTATTAAGTTAAACCACTCACGTTCTTCCTGAAAAAAAAAAACAAAACCAGAACACAAAGTTAGACAAAAAGAGAGAGCTTACAAAAACTTATGAAAGCAGAGGAGAAAGAGGAATCATTTTTGCCTATTGACTTGTAGGTGTTTGTATCTTCAGGCAATGGACGTAACTCCTCCAGTGTTAAGAAAGCTCGTTTTCTATCTCCCTCTTTGTTACGCATCTGATTCTGCACCTATACACACATTTACATTTATATATAGCAGTTTGATTATTACCATATGACAGGACAGGATCCATATGACAGGACAGTGACATCTTATTTTATCATACATAGAGTTAAGATTTTAAACACTGAATCATATTCACACACAAGCCATAAACAAATCGAGGTTCTGCTATTAGAAAACAAGAGCCCTTGAAAGTCGGATGTGATACTGAAACATATTCATTTTTAAACCATAGTTATAACAATCCAACATTAATCCTATTCAAACCGCAGATATAACAAATTCACAAGTTACTAGTTAGGATATATCTAAAGAGGTGATTCCAAACTCAAAACACAATTCAAGAACTGAAAAAATCAAAGCAAACAGTTTTAACATTAGTGTGATTCTACATTTTCATTTGCAATATTTGTATATTTTCTCAAAATGAACAAATCTTTCTAAAATGAAATCGAAATTTTTGACACAAATCAAAATTAGGAAGATGATTCATTTTACCTGCTTCAGCTTCCCGGTGAGCTCAATCATGCTTGCTTGAATCTCTAGAAAAGCCTGCAACATAAATTATATATGAATTATAATCCCTTCGCAGGTAAAGCAGAATTAATCATAAGAAACTGAGCGGAGGTTTTAGAGAGAGAGAGAGAGAGAGAGAGAGAGCTACTTACAGTTCTTCTTTCTTCGTCCGCCATATCTGAAGATCTTAATCTTCCAGCTTCGACTCTGCAAAAAAATGGTCTTTCGATTTAGGGTTAAGAAAAAAACAAAATTAATAATTTTCGGGTTCAAAAACCGGGTCGGGTTGCAAACGGATTCGTCGGGTTTCTAAAGGCTTCTGATGGGGTGAGATGTCAATTTAAGCCTAATAAGTATTGAAAATTGGCCCAAAACCTCCCAAACTTTTCAAAAATAGTGTTCCAATAATGAAAAAATCAAAATTTGGTTAGGACTCAAAAGTCAAAACACTTATGTTCATATTCCGTATGAAAAACCTCCAAATGTTGACAAGACAAAGGGTCTTTTCCATTCAGATGAGATATGAAGATAAGATTAAATGGATTACATTGTGATATTAAAGTGGAAGAGAAAATGTTGACACAAATTAAAAAGTTTATAAATTCAACATGTAGATTTAATTATATATAGAGTTTCCTTCAATTGGAAACATTCATAATAAATTGTACCTTTTGTGAGAGAACTGTAAAAATTATAATTCTATTATACAGGAGTTGATTTGGAAAATAGTTTTCAACTAACAAAGTTAGTATTAACTGATCAATAATCAAATAAAAAAAATTGCGTGAAACGAACATCCAGTCTAATATGAACATAAGATTAATTCATTACATTGTGAGACTTTGTGGAAGAAAAGATGATGACAAGAAAAATAAAGGCAGCATGAAATGAATCTACAAATTTGGTGACACGACACCAAAATGGTTTAGGTGAGTACTCATGATCAAAAAAATAGTTGGGCTCTAATCCAACAACGCATATAAACTTTAAAACCAAAGTGGTTTGACTTCTATCTACTAAACACAACATCTCATTGACTAATCCAAAACATAATCAAAACACTTATATAAATAAACCGGACCAGACGTAAAAGAGACTGTACTAGCAAATCAAATGTTTTGGACATGGAACTCAAAGAAACAGAGCCACCTCGAAAACCACTAAGACAGCCTCCTTCTGTTCCATTCATTTGGGAAGAACGGCCTGGCTTCCCCAAAAAAAACTGGCAACCGTCACTAGCCACCTTCGTGCCTTCTCCTCCTCCGCTTCCGCCGCCTATCCCCGTCCCGGTTAAGCTGGTCACATCGGTTCCTTTCCGTTGGGAAGAGACACCTGGAAAACCGTTACCTCCTTCCTCAAACGACCCACCTCAGCTTCCACTTCCGCCACCGGAAACAGCCAAAACTCCTCCTCTGTACTTACCACCTCCGGTTCCAGTTCCGGTTAAGCTTGTTACATCGGTTCCGTTCGATTGGGAAGAAACTCCTGGACAACCGTACCCTTGCTTTGTTGATGATGCAATCCCACCTGAACCGTTGGATCAACCGCTGCCACCGCCTCCCATGTACGGTGGTGAATTCGAAACCAGCAGCGATACTTACGACGACGCGAGCAGTGATTCATTCAGCTCTGTGCCGTCTCTGTTAGCAAGAAACCGTTCTGTTTCGGTATCAGGTGCTGTTGCGGTGGATGAATTCGATGACTATCACCTGAACAGAGAGACGAGCTCGACGCCAGCATCGCCGGTTTATGAATCTGATGACAGTACGTGCAGTTACATGACGGGAGCTTCGAGAGCTTCGAGCCTCGTGGGAGCTTCGTTCTTGGAAAAGCTCTTTCCTCGTCTTCTTCCACAGGAAAAGTTCGAAGCTGCTGAGTCTGAGGACGTTCAGGTCTCTTCTACTCGTCCGTTGCATGAAGAAGTGAAGCTTACTACAGATTCTGACAACATGAACATTGGCTTCCCTGTGAGGATGCCGCAGACACTTGGGGAGCTGATAATGATGAGCCGAAAGAGAAGTTACATGAGAAGAGCTGTTGAAATGAGAAAGCACAAACCTTCCATGGTAAAACTCTCAAATAAATATCTTCTCTCACATTCTTTTCCAAAGCTTCTGAAATTCAATGATGAACAAAAAAGATTCTCAAACGTTGACACTTGCCTGGATAAACTAGCAGGAATTTACAAAATATGGAGCTGAGAGTCGCTGCCTCTTTGTGCCGGGAATCAAAATGATAGAAGGACTTGAGTGGAAAAAATACCAACCGAGGCTGAAGCTCGTGTAGAAGAAAACTACTTACACAATTTGCATTTCGAAAGTCATTCTCTTTTCATAGAAGAAGAATAAACTTGTATTGTAACAAATAGAGCGCTGAGATTGAATGTCAAACTCTTTCTTCTTCTAATTCATTCCTATCTTGCCAACTTCTAAAAATGACTCCACTAACACCGAAAGATCTGGTTTAAACTCAAGATCTGGATGATTCAGTAAGCTGTTTGATTCGATCCATGATCACTGGGATGTCTTCATCGGCTAAAGCAGTAAAACAGCACCTGAACCAACCCGGTTCTATACAATAACATGCTGTTCCTGGAGTGGCGTTAATCTTAGCAACGCTCAATAGCTTCTCGAACAACTCGAGTTCTCCTTTCTCGCTGTACGATGTCATCAAACTGCTCATGTTAACCCAACAATACAACCCTCCATCACTCTGAGCACATGGAATCCCTAATTGTTTCAAACCTTCAACAAACAGAATATGCTTATCTCTGATCCTTTCCCTATGCGCTGCCATATATTCCTCGATGAACCTTGCATCCGATAGCAGAGAGATAAGTATCCTTTGCACTGGAACTGGCACAGATGAGAATCTCATCAGCTTCTTCGCTGCATTTACCACGTCTTCATGAAAGGAATAGATGACTCCAGCTCTAAAACCGGGAATCGAAAGGTCCTTTGACAACCCGTAGATGATATGAACTCTGCTCTTATCGAATTCCCCGGAGCTAGCGATCTCCGCCATGCTTACAAACTCTTCATCCCCGTAAACAGAACCGGCGAATATTTCATCAGAGATAACATGTATGTTTTTCTCCTGAGCAAACCTTAAAATGACATGGAGCGTCTCCCTTGACAGTATGTTACCAACGGGATTCGACGGGTTTGAAAAGAGGATCCCACAGACCTTACTCCCTCGTTTTCTAGCTTGGTTCAAAGCTTGCTCCAGCGCGGCGACCGTTACAGTAAAGTTATCGGAGCTACGGCAGTGCACTGGTATAAGCTCTACTCCCGTCCGGAACTTTATATCCCTATCAAAGCTGCAAACTCAGTTTCATTGGTACATCGCATTAAAAAGATGAGACTTTCTTCAAAGACTCGAACACTTTCATAGTGTATTTCCAATATATTTACCCTGGATAATACGGAGACGGAATCAGAAAAGCATTCCCATGATCTGCCAAGCAGAAGGCCAATACTTCGATAGCAGGAGTCCCACCGGCTGTTACTACCATGTTTGAGGGGTCAAATGACACACTGCCTCCCATTATTCGTGACATGAAATCAGCAAAAGCCTGAAATATGAGAAATGAAGCAATTTGATTTCGTTAAATTTTCAGTGTTATGAAGGCAAACACCATCAAGCAAGAGCAAACAACTAAATCCACAAGTTCTCAAGAGATATACTTAGAAAGGAAATAGAAACTCTACACAAGTTTTCTTAACTATATAGTTTCCTTTCTTCCAGTAATCAGTAATTGCAAGAATCAAAGCAATACACACGACGAGTGACTATCTACACTTACCACTCTGAGTTCCAGCAATCCTTCGAAAGGTTTGTACATGGCGATACTACTGATATCGAATTCACCATCATCAGATTGCATCATCATCGACTCCATCAAATTATCAGTCATCCATCTCTGGAGCAAGTCAAAGCACAGCTACAAAATCCCCACAAAAAAATGCAAATCCCCATGAAAACCACATCGCTATCATCACAAAGAAAACATCGAGAAAAATCTTCAAAACTCACCGTACTCTCAGCCAAACCAAGCTGGATGATCCCATCTCGATTACTAATCCGATCGTAAGGATCCGTCTTGGCTCTCTCCAACCCAATGTAATAGAGCGAGTCGCTAGGCTTCGCCACAGGAACCGCTCGAGAGGAGACTCGAACACGTCCGATCGAGTTCCCGCGGGTGAAGAGACTGGACCGCGACGACATCCTCGGCAACTCCGCCAGGTCGGAATCGGAAGAAGGAGGGTCAGGAGGAGAACGGCGTCGTTTAAGGTAAAGCTGGAGACAGTAGAAGAGACAGCAAGGGATTAGAGAGCCGACGATGAGACCTCCACGGCCTTGAATCACTCCCCGGAGAGGGACAATCAGCCTCATCGTTAACTACTCCGCCGCAGCGACCGTTGTTTGCTCTCCGGCGTAAAAGAAGAGATTCGAGCCGTTCGTTGAGAGTAAACGAAGTGGAAAAACAGAGACGACGTGTGGAAACTGCAAAGTATTTTCAGATAATTAACAAATTGTTTTTTGGTGGAGAGTGGATATTAGCACATTTGTCTCCACCACGTTTGAAAGTTTGCTAGATAGTCCTTTGATATTAGTGATATTTTAAAAAGATCCACAGAGTTTTAAAACAAAAATCAAACCCAAGTTAACCACATCCAACAAAAAACCTTTAATGGAGGATTTCAACACAGTACAATGAGCATTTGACCATTACAACATATATATCTATATCGAATGAAAGATTCCAATATCAATAAGAAATTTGAAAAGTTGATGATAATCTCAGAACCGCCTTTAGTCTGCGCTGTGCCAACCTTTAGTGCAAGGAGGTATCTCCATGAACTCGTCGAACTCTTTCACATGAACATCGCAGCATTTCCACTGCACACACACAAAGCAAAAACATGGATACTCAACACAAATTCAAGAAAAGGCTCATGATGATAAACTGGTTCGAGCAAAAGAAAGGTGTTAATATGACACGCACCCCTCTCAGTCTATCGTGGAATACCGCAGGACCTGGATGATAGCTACACGCAGTCTCGTGATTGTCTCTCTCTTTGAATGTCTTGCCACATCCTTTGTTTTTGCAGACTTGTGGTTGGTTAATGTCTATAACAACCTTTTTGACTGGAGCTGGTGCTAAGGTTTCAGTCTCTTCTTCTTGCGCTTGTACTGGTGCGCTCAGGGTCTGCTTGATCTGTTCTTTGGGTTGAGAACCTGTGTGGGTTACGAGTTACGACACAACGTTAGATAGAGATTTGTTTGAATGCACCAGTGTGAAGAGTGAAGATACCAACCATGGTCAGAGCAGAAGAAGCCTTGACGGCACCTTGAGCAAGAGTCTTTTGTTGCTGCATTGGCATCAGGAGACGAAGTAGGAACCGCAACGGCATGTCTTGGAGCCGGTTTGGCCACGACCGGTTTCTCAGTCGTGTGTTTACCTGTTTTACATCTTCATCACAAGAACCAAACAAAAGTATCAACACGAAAACATACGGTGGTTATACGAATAAAGAGGTAACCAATGATATCAAATCAATACCCTGGAATTTCCAAGAACAAGCTGAAATCATGGCTTCTTTGCTTGCAGCAGCTCCATTCTTTCATTCCGTCGTGAAAAAACGGCTGCAAGTTTCAACAAGATGGGTGTAAAACGGAGGGGAAAAAACAAAAGCATAGATAAACAGTAAATTTGACTTACTCCCTGCTTGAAACAAAAACCCAGTAGTGAGTGAAAAGCCAAGCCAAGAAGACGATCCACAACCGGAAAAGAAGATGTATAAGTTACCAATGAAAATCTCCAGGCAAATAGATGAAAACGAAATGACACAATCCAAATGTTTAAAGATGAAAACATAGCAGCAAAAGCATGACTGTTGCATTCTATTGTTGTTTCCTTGTAAAGATTGATTCCCTTTACACAAATTATATACTTCTTCCATCAATTGTTCTATTATTCCCTTCCATGGACAGTCTAATTAAGTTCTTCCCAAGCTCACTCAGTTCACAAAATTCAAAAGATTGCAACAAAAAAAAAAAAAAAAAAAAAATCAATTTTAAATTTTGCAATTGGAGAACTAAAGCTGGGTTCAAGAACGTGTCAACAAGCTAGTTAAAAAACCTAATTGACCACTTGCATATCATCTGCTCCAGATCAAAATTGGCAAATCCACACATCGTAAAATTTCACAGTTCGTCTGATTCTTAATAGGTTCAGAAAGAGCATAAACGAATCAACTGAAGAAATGGAGAAGAAGGGAGTGGGAAGAAGAAGACGTACGGAAGCATGAAACTGACAAGAACCTTCTGGATTGTCTTCATCGGTGAACATGGCGTTGCAACCAATGCGTTGACACTGAAGCTTCGCTGCAGATCTTACTTCCATGGTCTCTCTTTCTCGTGAAATTGAGAAGAAAAGCGGACGAATTTCGGAGAATTGCCAAAGTTCAATTTAGACTTTCTCCTGCTCTGGGAAATCAAAATTGTATATCTCTCGACCAAAACCTAATACAATTTCTAAATGGAAAAAAAGTAACTTACACGATACTGAACAAAAAAAAATATACATTGGTAATTTATATATACTCTTAAGAAAAAATATAAACATATTCCAAATATACTCTTAAGAAAAAATATAAACATATTCCAAAACTAAAAGTCTTAGTAATAGGAATAAAATATTTCTTTATGAAAATACAGAAAATGTAAAAAAAATTAATATTAATAATAATTTTTTTAAATCGAATTACTCTGAAAAAATAAGAAAATCGAAGTTATTTAGAAGTAAATTAGAAATTATTTATAAGAGATGTGTGTTTGTTTGGATAGAAAAATTTATCTTTAATTGGTTGAGATTTTGACTTTTGATTGAGCTCGGTTTCATTCTTTTTGAAGCCTATATAGTAAAGATTTCGGGGTAAACTGGTTCGAGGGTCACTTTCCAACTGATGATCTAACCCGTTTTTAGAAGCAAAAGTTTATTTTCTGCTTTATTGTGATGGGTTTACTTTCACTGTGTCCATTCAAGAGGCAACACGTTATTAATAAACCCCATCATGATGACTTTCCTATCTACGCCTGCCCAACGGCTCTCTAACTGACTATTCACGGATAGTTGGCGAACTTTCCAAGTTGATCATCAAAATCCTTCTCTACTGCCTCTTTTGTGGAAAAACCC